AAACAAGGGATGAACCGTATTCATCAATCAAATATTACAAGTCTCAAGGGATGCTTACTGACATCGGCAAAACGAGGGATGAACCGTATTCATCAATCAAATATTACAAGTCTCAAGGGATGCTTACTGACATCGGCGAAACAAGGGATGAACCGTATTCATCAATCAAATATTACAAGTCTCAAGGGATGCTTACTGACATCGGCGAAACAAGGGATGAACCGTATTCATCAATCAAATATTACAAGTCTCAAGGGATGCTTACTGACATCGGCGAAACAAGGGATGAACCGTATTCATCAATCTAATATTACAAGTATCCAAGGGATGCTTACTGACATCGGCGAAACAAGGGATGAACCGTATTCATCAATCAAATATTACAAGTCTCAAGGGATGCTTACTGACATCGGCGAAACAAGGGATGAACCGTATTCATCAATCTAATATTACAAGTATCCAAGGGATGCTTACTGACATCGGCGAAACAAGGGATGAACCGTATTCATCAATCAAATATTACAAGTCTCAAGGGATGCTTACTGACATCGGCGAAACAAGGGATGAACCGTATTCATCAATCTAATATTACAAGTATCCAAGGGATGCTTACTGACATCGGCGAAACAAGGGATGAACCGTATTCATCAATCAAATATTACAAGTCTCAAGGGATGCTTACTGACATCGGCGAAACAAGGGATGAACCGTATTCATCAATCTAATATTACAAGTATCCAAGGGATGCTTACTGACATCGGCGAAACAAGGGATGAACCGTATTCATCAATCAAATATTACAAGTCTCAAGGGATGCTTACTGACATCGGCGAAACAAGGGATGAACCGTATTCATCAATCTAATATTACAAGTATCCAAGGGATGCTTACTGACATCGGCGAAACAAGGGATGAACCGTATTCATCAATCAAATATTACAAGTCTCAAGGGATGCTTACTGACATCGGCGAAACAAGGGATGAACCGTATTCATCAATCTAATATTACAAGTATCCAAGGGATGCTTACTGACATCGGCGAAACAAGGGATGAACCGTATTCATCAATCAAATATTACAAGTCTCAAGGGATGCTTACTGGCATCGGCGAAACAAGGGACTGCACGATCCATAATCGATTAGTCAATGGTACTGCGAAAGTTTATAGTCCTCCAGCACAAGGGACTTGTGTTACTTAGGCCCGTAGCCCGATTTAACATGATAGTCTTTCCAAGGAAGGACCGCATCCTTTTATGCTCAGTACTGCGAAAGTTTAGAGTCCTCCAGTACAAGGGACTTGTGTTACTTAGGCCCATAGCCCGATTTAGCATAGTAGTCTTTCCAAGAAAGGACCGTATCCTTTTATACTTAGTGCTGCGAAAGTTTAGAGTCCTCCAGCACAGGGGACTTTTCAAGGTTAACATCAAAACGAAGCTTATACTTGATACATCAAAACAAAGCTATTCATTCATGCTTAACAAATACTTTCTTCAAAACAAAGCAAAGCAAGATTTATCAAAACAAGTATAACATAGCTTTATCAAAAATACCACTCACATAGTTTTCCTCGGATGTATGCTCAAGGCAAAGATCAAGGCCCTACAATCATATGGCAAATCACATTCTCAAAACAAGCCTTATATGCATGTGGATGATCTCGGCATCCTCACCAGATCTAAGTCAATAACAAAACAAAGCATGCTGGGAGTTTAAACACTGCACCCGTCTCATGAAAACACACTGGGTACCAACTAGGTCTTTGCTGAGGTCCCACACATCCTTGCCGAGGTGTGGTCCCGTTGGCCTGATACAAAAGCAAAGTCGGGAAAACCTGGGTTTCCCTTTGAAGCACAAGAAGAACATGATGAACATGATCATGAGAAGGACGAATGCAAAGTTCAAAACTTGTTACAAAAACCTGAGATTTCATGGCATGAGTTCAAAACATCGACCTGGGTACCCATACAAGAAGGTCATGCAAGAACAAACACAAAACATGGTTTTTGGTTCCAAACTTTCGGATCAAAACGGGACATTCTTCAAAAATACAAGAATACTCTTTTTTTTTTCTCTTCCAAAACCAACTTCAAATCGATGCATGACATGCAAAACAGATCCGATCATGCAATGCAGCTAGATGTTCAATAACAACGACCAAAGTAGATCAAGATTCTTACCCCAAAACCCGAATCCAACGATTCAAACCTCGAAGATCAAGCTTGGAAGATCTATTCTCACTCAAGAACTCCTCCTCCTTCTCTCTAGAGCTTCTCTCTCTAAAGGCAAAGATTTGAGACAAAAATGATTTGTCTCTAGGTCTGCCGGCTGTCTTAACAATCAGCTCGGACACGTGGCGTTACCGGGTTGGTTCAGCTCAAAAAGGTGATTGATTGATAAGAGAAGTCTCAGACAAAGCGTACGCAGCAAGCTCGGCAAGATACATCGGCGAGAAGTGACATCGGCTCAAGTCTAAGCTTCACCAACAGGGGTAACAAAGACATCGGCTAGGGAGGACGACGCTTGACTAAGCTGTGCCACACCTTGGCCGGGGTGTGCCACATCTCAGCCTAGGCCATACCTGCCCACGGACAAGGTTCACTAAGTGCAGGACATCTCGGCAATAAGACCGAGGTGAAGGCGTTGGTCAACCAAGGTCTCAAAACAGTTCTAAGTGCAAAGGTTCAAAGCTGAACTAAGCTCAAGGTGACCACGGCCACCCACACCAAGCAAAGAACAAAATCATGCAAGCAACTTTAAACAAAACAAGGCAAGACAAAACCTTCAAAACCACATAATAAGACAAGATCATGCATAAATGTATGCAAGTATGACAAGAGTAAGGTGAGGGTTGCTACAAGAAACGTTATCAAGGGAAATGGAATTAAGGCCTTTAGTTAATGTTACCGAAACGGAAAACCTAACCTAGCTAACTAGAGATCCCAAGATCTATATTCAAAGGGATAACCTAATTGCGTGTAACGGATGAGTCACTGAAGTGGTATATTCTCTTGCCCATTCCTTTATACAGTAATACCCTGTGAGGGTGGAAGGATAAGCTAATGCTTTTAATGACCTAAGTGATGTGAGTAATCAATCGTGGTGTCGTGAGATACCTTATGTAGGTCACCTATGTGAGTGCAAAGTGAGGCCGCTTCTTTAAGAATTGACAAGGCCGATTCTTTAAAAACACTCACTGAACCAGGCTAATGTTCCAGGGCCATACCAGACACGCCAGTGAGAACAAGAACAATGGTTGGAGTAACTCCTATGTGAGGTCTATTGTCTTGGTTTACACAAACGACAGAACAGTTCAAGACATTACGTTCACTGGTCAACCAGTAAATCCGATAGGCTTTCACCACGAAAGGTTCAAGGCCAACAGCTACCTTTTCTGATGCCGGGTTAGTCTGTGTGCTCTCTCTCCGAGTCTTTGTTGTTAAACGTTGCCATTATTCTTTATTCGGTCAATTTTTATTCATGTGGGGGATTATTGGAAAATATGGTTTTTTGGTTTGAGGATTGAATGAAAAATTGTTTCATTAAGTTGGTCTCAAGAATGAGAGATTGAGAATGATGATTGTGCATATAACATGTGGTGTGGATGTGTGGATGAATGGCCTAATGTTGGAAACCATGTGGTACACATAGTGTGGCCTAATGTTGGAAACAATGTGGCACGCATGCCCTAACCATGACAGACACATGGTTTTGGAAGTCATGAGGTACACATGGCCTTGCCATATATCTTGCCAAAGATGCCTATATAAGGGCATGTTCAACATTGTGAAAATGATCACAAAATAAGCTAAGTTCTCTCCTCCTCTTTTCCCCATTGTGTATAAAAGGAAACAATCCTCTTTAGTTGAAGTACAAAAATTTTTGCTCTCATATTATAGTCAGTCTGCTTCTATAATATATTCTTCCTGTGTGAGAGAGTGCTACCATTGTCAATTCGCCGAAGCTAAGCAGAAGGTGTTTCTGCATTAGCGGGTTCTAAACTGTCGTATTTTGGGAGACAGACGCCGACATACCTCCAACACCCACGGTGAGGTGGCAAATCTGTTTTAAGGAGACTGTGGTATCACACAGGCTTCCACTTGTTTTCTTTACTATCTTATTTAAGTATTTGATTTTGTTAAATATTTATGTTCATCAAGTTATAGTCTCTAGCATGATTTAGATTCATGATTTCTTGTTATGTAATATAAATTTAATTAATTATGAATCTGTTCATTTTATTTAATTTACACAATTTGTACAACACTGTTAAGTCGCACAACCTCCAATTCCTTAAGCGCCTTATGCAAAAACTCCCTCAATTCATCCAAAGTCGGCCCCTTCTTCTCTTCTCCTTCCCCAACTTCTTCCCCCGAACCATTATTCAACTCCGGATTGATTAATTCTTCATTGTGGCTTTCAACAAATTCTACATTTCAAGCATTACATCAATGTCAGCTATTGAATCATTGCCCTAACACTGCAACCTAACTACTCCCCTTGATGTCTTAAAGACATTTACAAAGTTACAAATCAAAGATCCATATGAATTATAACCCCATAGATTGTTATCAAAATCTGTTTTACCAAGTACACTTGAATGGACACTACTGTTAGTGCTAGACACAGTTATTTTCTTCACCTTATTTTTCAGGTATGATTCGAGAAAAGTCTTTGATTGCCAAGAAAATTACAACCAATACATCTAAAACTAAACTTCAAATGTGAATCTAAATGATCTGAAGTACTGTAACTTGTAACTTCACTGCTATGAAACAAGTTTGACTGCCAAAAACTACATGCAATGTCCATATCTCTACAATTTTCTAACCGATTCTACAGTAAATTTCACAAACTCTTGCTAGTATCAAATCAAACACCTGCGAAAAAAGCAATTTAAAATAAAAATGACCTGATCAAATTGAATTGACATCAATTGAATCCAAATTTGCTAGTCGAATCACATAGTCATGAGACTGAGAACATACAAAGGATTTTTACATCCCCTAATTATCCTTCTTCGTTTTTTAATATATCTATACTATTCTTCTCTCCCATTCTATAACTATTCGTAGATTATTTGTAATGGCCTATATATCCATACTACATATTTCAAGCACACTCATGTGAGTGTGCACACCTACAAATGTATATATATATATATATATATCTATATGGTCATGTTTGATTTAAAAGACTAATAGTGAAGTATTAATAATCCTATTAAATTAGTGTAGTATTTACTATCCAATTGGATTAATATCCATTGGATTAATAATCCCACCCTTACCCCATTACTAATAATCCTACAAATTTGTTGGATTAATTATCCATTGGATTAATAATCCTAAACCAAAATGTTAAAACGAACATGGGATAATTGGGCTCACGGATTAATCCCAATCCCATGCTCTAATCCACCCAATCAAACATGCCCTATATGGATTACGATCCTCTCCATTTCATAGTTGTAATGGACGACGTCCATTACTTAATAAACTGTATCAAACAATAGCTCTATGAGGCTTTACCACTAACAAAATGAAAGTGAACTATGTCCTGCAACATCATACCATATAGTTCTGCTATTTCAATTCAACACATCTCAATATTCTCAAAATAAAGCATATTTCAACACATCTCACTATTTATTGAAGTACTTATATTTCCTCCAAAAAAAATATATATTCGTCATTTCTATTGTATTGGTCATGTACAGTTTAGTCGTACATAGAGAAAATATGCGACAATTCATGTTATATCCAGTAGTTCTAAAAACCCAAAAAAGTGCCTAGAATTTGTAATCAAAGGCTGGGATTTACTTATAGTGTGGCCCCGCAATAACAAGGTCAAAATATACACCAGTGATTACAAAATCTGAGTCAGAAATTCTAGTTTGGTTTGCTAGACTTTTTGTTTCACATGCCAAGATTTGAATTAGAAAACAGGGAAATTGAACAGGGAAGGTACTGTCATGTGTTTGAAACTAGTTACCAATCTTTGAACAGGGGAGGTGGGTTGTCATGTGTTTGACGCTAATGAATTCCAAGGTCATATATCTTATCAAAGTAATACTTGATGTTACCAAGATGTCCAACTGGGCAATTGAGCATGCCAGGAAAATCAGGGGACTAAACATTCATACAAAAGCAGAGTGCCCTGAGGCTTCAATGAATGAATCCATGTTGAACAAAGTCATTCAAAAGCTAACCTGGTTACTCGAATCAACCCCCCACACAATACACTCGGCCTGCAAGAAACAGAGCAATATATATATATATATATAGGTGAATATTAACATCCGAGTTAAAACTTATTCGGTCATTTTGTATGAAAATTCTATAAAGTTACCCGACATGTAATCTAAAGTCATTCCAAAAACAGCAATACAATACAAAGTAGAGGGGAGACTGAACTTTGATGATTTTCTTAAGTCTTTTGTAAAGATAAGGTCTTCAGATCCTGATCTGAATGGCAAAACTTCTGCATCAGTTACAATCACATCGACTGCAAGGCCACACTAATGTTATAAATTCCAAGAAAAAGAAAAAAAATAACTTCCCAAAATAAGTATATAAAAAAGTGTAATGCTACACAAGCAGAATTTATGTATTTTTTGAAGGAAAAAAAGTGTTAATGCACTAGATGGGTTTTCTGTGTAAATGAACCATTGGTCGCCCAAGCGTGAATGTGTGGCTCTTAGGGTTGTTGGGGCATGGGCGCTCCACGGGCATAGTAATTTTTGAACGAAACAAGGAAACCTCAGACGTTAAGACTCAAAAAGTTTAAAAGCAAACCAAACGAACTCAATGTGCCCATAGCACAACACCTATCGGCGTTTCTTCTTTTTAATCTCTTGAAACCAAAACATCGATCAAATCGCTGCATGTAAATAGATAATTACCTACAAGCGTCGCAAACTCCCTTATGTACCTCAAAATCTGCCTAAACTCTTTTGATGGTATCCCCAAAATGACTTGATATTCATATTCTGATTCATTGATGTCCAAATAATTGTAAGGGTTACCAGGAGTGCGAGGTTCGTCGAACAAAAGAGGCCTCCTTTGATCAGACACTGAAATGCAGTCAAGTTTGAAACATAAGCAATTTCAAGAAGATCAATCATTGAATTTAAATCTAAACATTTTCCAAAAATAAGCCTGTGGGATATTGCAAAAACCTTTAAAACTCAAAGTAAAACAACATCTTCCTGTTCGTCTTTCTGTAATTGAATTTGCAGTCACAAAAAAAAAATTAAAATTAATTAAAATAAAGATTTTGTGAACTTCTATGGGTTTTCCTAAACTTTTTGAGAAATCAATCCAATTTAACATAAATAGAAATTTTCATATTTTAATAGATTTCCAAGAACCAATTTGAAACCAACCGTGAACCTGTTGGAAAATTTGAATTACAATTTGCTCCAATGGTTGTGTCTCTTGAAATGAAATGGTGTGTCCTTTTGAAGGGTAACAACCTTTCTAAAGGGTCATGGAGAAATCTATATATTCGATCCCCCTCACTTCATTTTAGATATAGAATTGTCATTTTCTTCTTTACTTTGTATTTATTCTTCATATTTCCTGAGTCTAATTTTCTTATAAAGAGAGTACATGCATAGTAAAGTTCACTAGGCTTGCAATAGTAGTGCTGCTAGTGCAAGATATTGATCGTTGTATCCTATGAGATAGACGTCCATTGAATCCTAAGCACAGGTGGGAGAACGAATCTGTCTTAAGGAAAGAGTGTCCACACTCGACTAGATCAGGTTTTATCTATTTATGTGCTGTAAGTTTTGTTACGTTATTTTGTCAATTTATTTCAGTTTTGGTTTTGCCCAAAAAACCGTTTACATATTTTTTAAATTATATTTTTCATATAGTTTGGTACCATTTTTCTAACAGAACCATCACATAATTGAACATAAATATGGCTTCATGTGTATATATATATAATAAACATATCACATTATGCTTATGAAATGAAACAAGAAAATGGACTATAAATCTTATCCAATGGTAAGGGGATTTTCAAGAATGAATTCGAGCAAACATAAGCAACCATTTGTCTATACACATATCTATACATATCTATTCTATTATATAAAGCAAGCGTACACCTTATTTCCTATAAATATTGTCACAATTTGTAACGCCCCACTTTTTATTACTCGGAACCATTACCAGATTCATTAATTTAATTCAATTTCAGAGATAACATGTAGAAAACTCTTTACATCAATGAGTAAGAATAAATAAAGATTCTCTCATCCGAATACAAATTAAATGCAACATGAGCATAACAAAATAACTTGGTCGTAGGCTTACATCTTTAAAAGTAAAAGAAAGGGTTTAACCCTTTTTCATCAATGGCATTCCGCCCACAAATAATAGGCCCCGTGGCCAACAGGTAAAGAAGATCCATGACCTTGAAACACTTCTCGATGTTCACCTAAAAAGGGATTAGCAACATGGGATGAACATAAAGTCTAGTAGGGATCTCAATATGCTCCTAAACAATAGCAACTTACAAATAGCTATGATCATGAATGCTTAGTCTCATACTGTATAAATAATGTGACGGTTTATACAGAAATATATGTATTTAAGAACTTTTCTCAAAGTCATTCATTTCATTCAATAACATAAGCAATTCACATTTCTTTCCTCTTGTTACCTTTTTCCAAAATTCATATGACTATAACAAATTTCTGAAGAAAAATAATTTCACCAAGCCTATTACGTTTTCTCTCACTTTCTAGACTTATACCTGATTTGCCTTTTCAAAACATGTTCACAATGTATTTAAAGTCTTTCACATTGTTCACAATCTCAACACAATTCTTACGTCTGTTTCCAACACATTCACAACTACACAAGTATGCCTTTAATACAAAAGGAAAACAACAAGCAATCAATAACTATCTACTTCAACAATTGAGGCAACACGGCCTTCCAGAACAATAACCATCATAACCCATGATATACCCAGATACACTGAGACAATAATGATAAATAAATTCTGTTCTACCTGCCTTAAGCATGGTAAGACAAGGATACACCTTTCCACAATCAAATGCCAATTTACCAGACACCGGCTGGAAGGTAATGATACTTCTGTCAAGTTCTCCAGGTGCTAGCTGGAAGGTTCTGATACCTCTCATTCTAACCTTCTCCAGGAGCTAGCTAGAAGATAATGGTACCTCTCATTCTCAGCGCAATATACTAATCATCACAACATGACAAAGTACAACCAACAAGTGTAATGCATACACAAACTATTCAACACAACAATGTCATCCTCCACCGATGACCAAGGACAAAACCTCTAAATGTATGTATTTCAACACACGTATTATAATGATTCAACTCTCATGAGATTTTAAATCCAACAACAACAACAATAGTAAAATAAATATTCATAATCCAACCTCAAGCGAATTTCTGAAATTCACATATGATTTCCTTCTTCCTTTTTAAAAATTCAATTCTCTTATTTTCCAAGTTAACATGCTCCACCCTTTATCCTAATCCATTCTTTCTTTATTTCACAAAATTAAATCCATGGATATCAAAGTCACAACCTAACTCAACTTAATATAATCAATCCAAAATAATTCCAAAGTTATAGTTAATTCTCCCTTTTAACTATTAACCCATTTACACAAACCATAATAACAATTTACAGACATTATTCAACTTTACCCCTTTTTAATTCACCAAGTCAAAACATTAAATTAGAGCTTTTTCTTCTTTCAACATAAACATGCTAGATTACTCCCCAATTAACCCAAACAACAATCAATTTAACAATCTCATTCCCAAATGACAAACCCTAGATCCCCTTTCAAGATTTTCAAAGAAATCCATAATGGATATGATTTTTATGCAATAAAATCTACCACATATCTATCTATAGATGAGGTATTGTAAAGGAGTAAAGAAATTCCTACCTCAAGATTCGAAACTAAAGATGAAGACCCAACTTGAAATTCCAATGAAATCGCAAAACAATCGGTAGAAGTCTTGATCTATGCTGCTCTTCAACATTCTTGAAAGATTTGGGGTGAATCTTGGGTAAATAGAAGAGAAATCAAGAGTTTGGAAGGTCAGGGTTTCGTTTTGGAGCATGGGAGGAGAAGAGAAGGAGAAAAATTGGAGTTTTAGGGCCAAAAAATCACTTTATAATGTCAGTTAGCGATGTGGTCGCTTGAGCGAAGGAAGCTTGGCTCAAGCGTAGAAAAAAAGCTCTCAGAATTTCTGAAACTCGCACAGTTCGCTCAAGCAAAGAAAAGCTCGCTCGAGCGAGCATGCTTCCAGCACAGAAACGTAAAATTCAAACAGGTATAACTCTCTCGTCTGGACTACATTTAGGGTCGTTCTTGTATCCAAATTGAAGCCCTAGAAGTAAGTTTTCCAATTGTTCTAGCCTCACATCAAGATTCAAAGTATGGAGAGAGAAAATGATGACCGAGTGAAAACTACTCAATAATAATTATTCAAATTTGAAGTTTCTGATTCAATCTCATCCAACCACTATGGTAACACCTTAACCAAGACTCAAATAACAACTAAGAAGGCTCTCAATCAAGGTAATCAAAGGGTCAAATATAGTTCTATTATAATAGGAAGCACAGAGTGCTACACAATTTGTTTTCACATTTTTTTTTCCTCGAAGAATACCTTCTACATTGAAATAAGTGCTAAACAACTTTTCTTTTTTGATTGGCACCGGGGTGTCCTAATCAAAGCCCAACTAATCCCCAGAGATGCACAGCCCTCAGCAAGGAGTTTTCCACAAGTGCATGGTTAATTCAAGGGTTTTCCCCATCCAATAACCCCAAGGAATTGTTAGCACCTAAGAAGTTTCAATTCCTAAATCTTGGAGGGAGCACACCCCGAAGACCTAATACCTTGTCACCAGGCCAACCCTTGGGGTTTAAGTGCTAAATAATTTTTCTCATTCATAAAACTATCCAAAATTGTTAAATAGTATCTCCCCCCCACACCCAAATCTTCAAACCACCAAAAAAATTTTAAAACACAAAATTATTGAGATAACACATGAAAATCGAACGCATCACACATGAGTCACATGAATTAGGGTTTTGGGACGAAGAATAGAGCAGAGCGTACCGAACTGAGCGTTGTGATGAGTATTGTTGAAGAAGTTGAAATAGATGAGAGTTGTGTCATGAGAATAATTGGCGGAGACAATTAGGGATTCTAGATCATTGGTAGTAGAGAGTAGGGAGTTGAGAAAAGAGAGATCGAGCGATTCAATGCAGTTGTAATTGCAGCAAAATCTATGAAAACTTGAAGAATTGATTTGAAGAAGTGCCATAAACATTCCAGAAACCGATGGAGGTGAAACACTACATCTTCCAGAAACCGATGGAGGTGCCATAAACTTGAAGAATCTATGGCTCTCGTTGATATCTGCAAGAGCGGCGACACTGCTTTCTTCAGTAGGATAGCTTGAATTAGGTGGAACACTAACATCTTCACACACACACACACACACACACACACACACACACACACACAGAGCCTAGTTTGGGAAATTTGGCGCGGAAATGAAGCAGTGTTCGGCATTTTAAGCGAGTTAGTTAGCACTTGTTTGCCATAGCAAATTTTGGGATTAAAAGATTATTTTAATCCTAAAAAGATGAAGTAAGTTAAAAAAAGTATAAATGTTATATTTAAATTATAATTATTTAATTTTTTCTCTCATATAAATTAAAAAAGTCAAAAAATTTATCACAAATAAAACTTTTTAATTCTAAGTTAAAATAGTTAAAACGTCAATTCAGATCCTAAACCAACCCTCCAAACACGGTTTGTTTCTATGAGAAGAGTTTATATTAAAGGCTCTGTTTGGATTTTATTTATTTTTTAAAATTAAAATATTTATTTTTGACTGAAAAAAGCTAACACTTGAAAAATATATTATAAATTATAAATACATTTTTTGAAATTTGCTTGAAATACAAATTGTCTTTTATAATTTAAAAAATTGTAAATATTATTTTGCTGAATTTTTTATTTAACAGCAATAAGAAAAAATAAAATTTATAACTGCTCTCATATATAATAATAAAATTATATGAATTATTAATTGAAATAAATTTCTGACATCATTTGATTTGATGATTTATTAATAAAATAGACTATTTATTATAAAATTATAAATTTCAAGGAATGATATGTAATTTTCAAAATCACAAAAAACAATATGTATTTTAAATAAACGTCAGAGGTGTACTTATAATTTATCCAAAAATTAAACTAAAAGACCCACACAACTTTTCCAACAACAAAAATATATATATACTATTTTTTTAACATTTATCCAACATATCATCAGTTTTTTTTAGCAAACAAATTTATCTTAAAAACTAAAGAGTAACAAAAATAATGATAAAAATATAATTACCAAATCAACCCTGGTTTGTTTCAGTTGAAAATATTTTTTAAAAATATTTTTCACAAATTCTATTTATTTATTATTGTTATTATTATTATTATTTTGTATTTGTTTGCATCGCTAAAACTAATTTGACAATAGTTGTGCTAGTAGTGTGCGGTGACAGTGGTGATATAAGTAGTCGAGGCTGTTAGGTTCTTTGTGTTGGCAATTTCGGAAACAAACACATTTGGGTTGTATTGTTGAGCCTTGTTTTGTTCTTAAACTGCTCGAGCGGTTTATTACTATTAATTATTTTTTCAGACAAGGTCGGCCCAGAGTATTTTCAATATTTTCTAATTGGGCCAACCTTGTCTCCACTTGTTGTAGAATGGTAAATTAGGACTAGTTCTAAGTGATAGATTTAGGAGATGTTTGGAAATTAAATATAAAAAATCACTACAAGTTAAATTATTCTTTTTATTTTTTTCATGTCTTTTCATAAGAAAATAAAAAAATATATTAAAAAAGTCAATTCTCAAACAAGTCCTTAATTATTTTAAATTCTCTATAATTTTTGAATGTATCAACAAATTCTAAAATACTTTGTCTCAATATTTTTTTGCAAATATTAATAAATGAAAAAAAAAGAACTAATAAGTAATAAGTTTGATCAATAGAATCCTTGTTAGAATGCCCGAACTAGACGTCCAGTCTGAGTATCAGATTCTCATCACATTGACTTTTGTTTTTTTGTTTTTATTTTGTTTTTTTAGAAAATTAATTTTTAAAATTTTTCCAGCTATTTATAAATTGTGAATTTTTTTTAGGATCTATAATATTAAGATTTTATAGTATAAAGGACATCTAATATTTTCATAATGACTAATATTTTCTTCTTACTCTCTAGAGAAATTCTCTCTGGACTTCCCCGAGAAATTCTACAAATTTCTTCCTAGAGAATTTATTCCTAGATAAAGAATATCAGCATTAGCAAGAGAAAGAACCTCAAACTAGTTACTATTTTTTCAAAAAAAAAGTTCAAAAAATGAACCAAACATCTTTGTTCACAAATTTCTCTGTGTTTGTTCACAATTTTAAACTAGAGAAAATTGTTTTAACCAAATCAAAGAAATTTTAGCACAATAATTTTAAACCAAAGAAAATTGTTTTAACCAAATCAGAGAAATTTTAGCACAAATTTCTCTGTGTTTGTTCACAATTTTAAACTAAAGAAAATTATTGAGAAATCTTCACCAAACCAGAGAAATTTTAGTAAAAAATTTCTCTGTATTTGTTCACAATTTAAACCAGAGAAAATTGTTTTAACCAAACCATAGAAATTTTCCCAAATTAGCATCTTTAGAATTTTACAAGTATTTTTAGGAATTATTTACTTTAATAATCTCCACATTGCATAAAGGTTCATCAGCTAACAACAAGAAGTCAAATAAATCAAAATCCAAAGCTGAGAATTGAGCTAGTCTACTGATATATGTAACTAGAGAAAATTGAACTAGTCGACTGATATATGTAACCAGAGAAAATTAAAACCCAGAGAAAATTGAACTATTATGTAACCAGAGATAATTGAACTAATCTACTGATATATATAAACTAGTGTTGTTACCTATGCATCATTGCCACAGTAATGGCTCCGAGCACGATATGCAAAGCGATCGGAGCTGTGAAGGATAAAAAATATGAACATTTGAGAGATCTTGCAATTGACTTTGTACTTCAGAGGCTACGTGAGTGCTTGCGTAGCATCAATATCGAAGTGATTGGGGAAAACTCGAGATTGGATTGTTGCTTTGAAGAGTTTGATCGTCGTTCATCATCTTCTCTCCGATGGCGACCCTGTGTTTCAGCAAGGGAACATGTACGCTACGCAACTCGTAGAGGGACTCGGTTGTTGAACATGTCGAATTTTCGATATGAAGCGCACTCGAATTCGTAGAACCATTCGGCTTTTGTGAGGACTTATGCTTTGTATTTAGACCAGAAATTGGAGTTGATTTTGTATAAGAGGAAGCAAAGTGGTGGTGGTTCTGAGATTGAGAGGTATGGATCGAGGGATGAGCGGTGGCGATCGCCGCTGAATCGGGTTTATGAGTATGATTACAATGAGTTTAGAGACAAACCGGGGGGAGAGAGAGTCTGTCATATATGGGCGTGGGGTTGAGGGAAATAATATTGTGATATTTACCATTACTAAAAATGAGAGACGGCCTTAGACAAACTTTCCTTTATAAATTTCATATGGATCGTTCTCTCTATATCATACTTGGATTGGAAGCCATTTCCTTTCTAATTTTGATGATCCTATAAAAAAATATCAAACATTTAATTATGCTAATTTAACTTACTAACTTGCTAATATTTTACCAAATATAATAAATAAAAATACAAATAATTGAACTATAAACTAAATAAACACAAGTTAAGGAGAAATTACATTTTTCTCATCGAACTATCATTTAATATCACTTTATTCCATCAACTAAAATTTTATACATTTGCTATATTGAATTATAAATTTAAATAAATTCTATGAATGAACCATTGCATAAATATATATAAAATGTCTAAAGTGAGATTATTATTATTTTTATTCAAGGAAACAACAGTGATAGTCATTATGTAATCAATTATAATTGTTGACGTGGGCTAGACAAACGAATAAAAGAGAAATAGAAAATATTAAAAAAGAAGAATAAATTACAAATATACTCATTGAGACTTACTTAAAATATAGATTATTTTTTGTGGTTCAAGAAATTAAAAATATTTTCTTGTCTGAATTTTTTATTTAACATAATTAACAAAGTTAATAAAATTATTAACTATTCTCCTATGCAAAATAAAATTATCAGAATTATTAATTGAAATATATTTTTAACATCATTAAAAACTGTTAATTAACCTAATAATTAATTAATTAAAAGGATCATTTGTTGTACCATTAGAAACTAGCAGTTGTCCCGTGCAATGTACATGTTATTTTTTTTTTAATAAATATTTGATGGTACAATGTGTTATAAAAGAATAATTTAATTTTAATTTAAAATTAAAATTAAAATTAAATTATAATTTTAATTATTTATTTTAATAATATTTGCACTATCGTTCTATAAAATTGTTATAGCGATCCCGGTTATCCCTTTACTGTTCTGTTGTATTCCGGACTCGGTTCCGTGACGTTGGTAGTGGTATCTATCTTGTTGTCGTCCTTAAATTCCACTTGATTGAGTTTTAGGATGTTTTGAGGAGGGTTATTACAGGTTGGTTAGGCCTTGGTTTCAATTCCTTATTGTTCAGTTTTTAGGCGGTCCGCTCGAGCGGGTCTTCTTGCGCTCGAGCGGGGATTGCATACCTCCAGTATCTCGTGTTCCTGCAAAACTTCTGCAGATGTGGTTTTTACGCTTAAGCGGGTTTGTTTACGCTCGAGCGGGTTTGTTGGCGCTCGAGCGGATAGTACTTTCTGGGTATAAGTTCTGGGAGGGGAAAATCTACGCTCGAGCGGACTGGTTTTTGCGCTCAAGCGGAAGTGCTTTATTCTTGTGTCTTGGCGCTCGAGCGGGCCTTATTGCGCTCGAGCGTGTCTTGATTTTTTGTTCTTGGCGCTCGAGCGTTGTGTTCTCCGCTCGAGCGGGTCATGCGTATATGAGTTATCCGCTGGGTGATTTTAAATCACTTTTTATCATTCTTTCTCTCTCTTACTTTTTCAAAAACACCATTGTTGAGCTTCTCACTCTAGAGCTCTACCTTCTCTCTAGATTTTGATCTAGCTAGGGTGTTTTCCTCACCTTTGGTCTTTACAAAAGAGTTGTTGATCGTCG